AAGCAAAGAAAGTACAGAAATTTCTTAATTTAGATCTCGTTGTTACTCCCTGATTTAGATCTGTTAAGAGGTTATCCAGGGGATGTGATCGATGATGCTTCCATCCTCTTGGAGCGTTGGGTTGATCCACAAACTTGTATAGGGTATCTGGACCTGGACCAGCTGGTTCTTCACTTGGACTAGTCGTGGTCAATCCGGGTCCTTCTTCAGTTCTAGGTTCGTTTTGTTCATTGTCCAGTGATTCCTCAGTTTGGTCATGGCTTGTTTCAACGTTTTCATGGGAGAGATTTTCTTTGCAGAGGATTCCTATGTCTCCTTCATCATCTTGTCTCGGCTTTAATGAAAGGGCTTCATCAAAAATTATGTGGATGCTTTCTTCCACACATTGAGTTCGTTTATTTAGAACTTTGTAAGCCTTGCTGTGAGTGGAATATCCGAGAAAGATTGCCTCGTCACTTTTTGCATCGAATTTGCCAATATTGTCCTTCCCATTATTGTGGACGAAACATTTGCATCCAAATGTTCTTAGATGACTGATGTTTGGTTTTCTTCCTTTGAGTAGTTCGTAGGGTGTCTTCCCTAGGAGTGGGCGGATCATAGCTCGGTTAATTATGTAGCACGCTGTGTTAAGTGCTTCTGCCCAGAAGTTTCTTGCCAGACCACTAGAAATCAACATTGTTCTAGTCATATCCTCCAGTGTCCTATTCTTCCGTTCTACTACCCCATTTTGTTGAGGAGTTCTAGGAACGGAGAAGTTGTGGTCTATGCCTCGTTCTTTGGAGAATTCCTCAAATAGTGAGTTGTCAAACTCGGTTCCATGATCGGATCGAATCTTAATTAGGTGCAACCCTGTTTGATGCTCAATTTTCCTTACAAAAACAACAAACTCATTAAACGTATCTTTCTTACTTGCAAGAAAGATAGTCCATGTAAATCGTGAAAAGTCATCAACAATAACTAACACATATTCTTTGTTTTCCCTACTTCGGACTGACATTGGACCACACAAATCCATATGAATTAGTTCAATGGGCTTGCTTGTGTTCACAAAATTCTTTGTTTTAAAAGATGATCGAGATTGTTTTCCGGTGGCACAGGCAGAGCAAATATGATTAAGGGAATATTTGATTTTAGGTAGCCCGACTGCCAATTCATTATTTTTGAGTTTATTGATTAACGAAAAACTAGCGTGGCCCAATCTTTTATGCCAGAGTAGGGGATCATTGTCAATAACGCTTAGGCAGGTTAAACTTATACTTGGCAATAAGTCGAGATCAACTTTATATGTATTTTCAAGTCTCTTGCCTTCTAGTATGACTTGCTGAGATTCGTTATTGACAATGCGGCATACATTATGATCAAAAACTACACTGTTACCTCGATCGCAAAACTGAGAAATGCTAAGCAGATTAAACTTTAGACCCTTGACTAGGACAACATTGTCTATTGCATGGTCGGGTGACTTTCCAATTTTCCCCACAGCAATGATTTATCCTTTGCTGTTGTCTCCAAATGTCACCTTTCCACCACTAAATGGCCGTAGTGAGAGGAACAAAGATTTATCTCCGGTCATGTGTTTAGAACAACCACTGTCAAGGAATCAGTGATTGTTCCCCCTCACTCGGCGCTGTTCCAGGATTAAGGTTTAGTGCGTGGAACCCAGACCTGCTTGGGTTCCATTTTATATTGGTTTGAGGGATATTTACTGAAATTTAAGCTTCTCTCTAAGGCCTGTTGTCGAGAGTGACATTGATACCTAAGATGTCCGTCTTTGCCACAATGTCCGCAAATCCGGCTGTCATATGTATCAACATATTTGGTTTTCCGATTTCCGAAAAGATCTTTGCCCCTTTTATAAAATTCCCGGTTAAGTTTTTGACCATAACCTGTTTTGTGCCTTTGAACCAGCTTATCGAACCAGGTTGGTCCAGTTCTAGGTTGTCTATGGTACGGTCTAGAACTGGTTTGTCCTCTAGTTCTATTACCATAAAAGGGTTGGTTCTGAAAACTCGGTTTTTGATTTATTTGAGAATTTCTTGGAATGTATCCGAGACCAGCAGTCTCGTTTTCCTTTCTTTTGTACCGAGAGGGTCCAGTTCTAGAATGTTGTCTAGACCTGGTTCTTACCTTGGTACTATATGGTTGGTATTCCGATTTGTTTTTAAAATTTTGTCTCTCGTCCTCAAGGCGATTGAGATGATTAATGAGCAAGGCAATGTTCGGAATTTTTCTTAGAAGTTTTTCTTCGTCATTAACTTGTTTATTCATATTATCGAGCTTGAGTGAGCAAATGAGGTTATCTTGTTCCAAAACCACTTCACTATACTTGAGCCTTTCATCTATTAACTCTCCCACTTTTGTTTCCAACCTTATCTTGGCTCTAGTGGCTTCCTCGAGTTTAGACTCAAGTTCGGTGATTTGTGATTTAAGATTATCGTTTTCAGAAAGATTTTGATTTAGTTCGATAGTTAATCTTTTAAAAATCTTTCGGACCTTGCCTTTAGAGAGGGAATCAAATTTAGAAAGAAAGCTCTCCAAGTTTACCTCGAAATTCTCTTGGTCGGATTCTACATCGGAATTAGCCATGAGGCACAATCCTGCATGATTTAAGCCTTTTTCTTCTTCTTCTTCTTCATCATCGGATGAGTCTCCCCAGGCTGCCATCATTGCCTTCTTGAGGTCTCTGTTGAACCCTTTATCTTCACTGGACCTCCGATGGGAACTGGTCTTGTTCTTGTCGTAGGCTCTATCATTTTTCTTTTGAGGACAATCTTTTGCCCTGTGCTCAAAGGAACCACAAACGAAACAACCTTGGTTATTAAAAAAGATTGGAAGCCCTTTTTACCTTGTTTATTTCGGTTGCCTTTGAATTTTCGGTACATCTTTCCGAATTGCTTGGCGAACATGCTCATTTCATCTTCCGATTCACTTCCGGATTCTTCTTCTTCTTCTCGAGCCTTGAGAGCTATTTCTCGCTCTTTTCTCACATTTTCTGCATCTTGTTCTTCTTGTAGGCCTAGCTCATATGTCGGGAGTGAGCCGGTCAAGTCTTCTAGCGTCATGGTAGAGAGATCTTTAGCTTCTTCTATTGCTGTAGTTTTAGGCTTCCATGCGGATGGCAAGCTTCTCATAACTTTTCTCACCTGATCTTCTACAGTAATGTCTTTTCCAAGTGCTGAGAGCTCATTAATAATATTAGTAAAACGTGTAATCATATCCCTAATTGATTCTTTAGGCTTCATCACGAATAATTCGTAATTACGCATAAATATGTCAATTTTGGATCTTTTTACACGCGAGGTACCCTCATGCGTAACCTCAAGTAAATCCCACATTTGTTTTGCGGATTTGCATCCAAGAACACGGTTGTGCTCAGCCGGACCAAGTCCACAAATCAAATATTTCAATGCTTGAGCATTATGCTCGAGTTTACAATAATCATCAGAGGTGTATTCATATTTGGGTTTAGGGATAACCTTACCTTCGGCATCTTCCTTAGTGATGATGTTATCGCTACCTCAATTACGTTCCATACCTGGTAGTTCTCAGCTTTGATGAAGTTCTCCATTCGACTCTTCGAAAATTGATAAAATTTGCCGTTGAACAACGGTGGTCGTTGAGTCGAGTATCCTTCCTCCAATCGTTCAACCGTATTCATGCTGCCGGATCTCTTCCCAAGGTTTTAACCTTTCTGTGGTGAAGACCGGCTCTGATACCAATTGATGAAACGGTTAGCAACACAAGAGGGGGGGTGAATTGTGTGTGTGTGGGGGACCGTGGCAGTTTTTCGCACAGTTCTAGTGTGGGGTCCAGGGAATTACGAAATAATAAAGTGCACAAGGATTTAACGAGGAAAAATCCCTTGGCTCAAAGGGACTAAAAAACCTCGACCTCTCTCGGAGGAATTTGAACAACTTCACTAAAAAGCCTTTGAATGATTACAAGGGAAACTCTCCTAGTCTACCCTTGAGCCACCCCAACTCTATCCTCTCTAGGAAGAGTTATGCTTCTCTACCTTGTGGGTAGAGAGCCTCTCAGCTTTACAACAAAGCTCTCACAACACACTAACCAGCCCGAGGATGCTACACTTAGCCAATCCTCAAAAACCCCAATTACAATGAGAAGAAGGGAAAAAGAAACTCTGTTTGAAACTCCGAGAGCAGGTTCATGTGCCTTGGACTTGGTAAATATTCTCGTGTATATTTCTCAATAGAAGCTTGGTCAAGCACACCATTTCTCTTTGGCTTCTTCATTTATATAGGCTGTCTTGGGCAGATCGATTTAAGCATCCTTCCTTGAATAGTTGATCTTCTAATCTTGGGACTTGCCCCCATATTTTGAATTGCTTTCCTTCTTTGTAATGCTTCCCATATTCGAGCTCAATGTTTATGGTAGCCGGATCAACCATTATGTATATCGGCCCTGGACTAGATACAAAATATCTTGTGCATCTTTTTTATTCAATCAATTAATTACCGAATAAGGTAGACTTTGGTCAATACTCAAGAAGGTAAGAATATTTTTCTCAACATAAGCAATCAACTCATTTAGATATGAAATATATTTCAACCAGATTTTATTCTATCACAACCGTGTAGCTTTGGAATATTTTACGCACCATACTTTAAGCTATATCAATCGTGGAAAGAGAATAATTACTTATATAAGGAAATCATGCCAATAACGAGCAAGTAGGTGCAATCCGTATAAACTCAAATCACATCATGGATTGTGTTTTTGTTTCTCCTGCATGGTTAGTCAATCAAATTAATAATATTCATTCGTTCCTGTTACTCAAGGAACTGAGAGCGGTTTTATCCGTCGTTCCCCTGTATGGTTTAGTTATCAAACAATCGTATTCAACAGGAAACTGTGAGTGGTTCTATCCGCCGTTCCCCTATATGGTTTAGTCATCAACAAAACAACCGTATTCAACAAATATATCATATAGGGTATATAGGTAACAATTCATTGACACATTTTCTTGGATCACCATGCAGGTGCCTCTATATGTTGCAACAAAAATGATATCAACGAGAAGATCGTCGTTCTTCATCCCATCCCCAGACGGTTACGCTCAGGCAGCCTTGCGTTGTATAGGCTATGAAGAGAGGTGCACGCCATATTGGCCACATTCTATTCAACTGGCATTGCTTCATTATGTTCCTGAATCGTTGTTTGATGCTTGGCGCTTGAAGGATATGCTCCAAATTCGGGAGAAGGGACTACACAAGGACTCTATTAAGAAAAAGAAATGATAACAATATTTGAACAAAGAAATGCCCTAAATTTTATTACAAAGTTAACAACGTTATCATTTGCAGATGTTGTATCTATCATCTCCTGCTTTACATTATTATTCTATTTGAAAGTGTGTTAGTTTGTTTGTTATCTGAAATTGCATTTAAGGGGCATCACATTGAGGGCAGGATGGTGTTATTTTATTTTGAATATGATAAGTATAAAACACTTCAATTTTTAGTCCATAGTTTAAAAATTAGTGACTATATGTTTTCAACCAGAATGAGTTAACTAATGTAATTTTTAGTACGGGCTAGAATGGGGCAAACTAAAGTGAACATTTTAGTTAATTAGAACAATAGATATGAATGAAGTAGAAATAACTAATATGAATAGCAGAATTTGTTTCCCTAAAAGGAGCAACGATTCTTCATTGGCACGAGCATAAAAAGAAGACATCAACCTCTTGGAATAGAGAAGTATTCATGAATTATGAGCACAAAAACTCGGGATCAATGGCTTACGGAAATGTGTATAACAACATCAGTGCACCTGAGAACCATAGTATCTTGCAACATAAATTTCAGGGCGTTCAATAAGACTTCAATCTCACAAACAGAATTTTTGTTGGAATGGTTTCAGGCTTTGAAAGATAAAGTTGACTTGAACAATTACCAATACAAGAGAATTCCTAAAGGGCTAAGCCTGATATGGGCATATGAAAGGTGTTGTCCCTGACATGCATTTTAATAAAATAAGTCAAAAAACAGCTTATTATATACTCAATAAGCAACATAAGGGTGATAAGGCTACCAAAGAAGACTTAACATGCCAGGGACAACACCTTTCATATGCCCATATCAGGCTTAGCCCTTTAGGAATTCTCTTGTATTGGTAATTGTTCAAGTCAACTTTATCTTTCAAAGCCTGAAACGTATGGAAGGAAACTAGTGTGGTAAAACAATTTTATTTTCTTACCAAAGAAAATAAAAGTCGACAGGTCATATCTACACGCACAAAGACACGGTCAAAATTTTCATACCTTCAATTCATTCTCCAAGTTTATCTTTCTGGGGTTATGTGCATTGACTGGCCCTTCTCTAGAAAGTGCTTTTCTGGACTCGATGATCTCCCGCTCCCTATCATCCTTCACTTTAGTGATATCCTTGCTGAACTACACAACACATTCCATAGCAGTCTTTTCGTGAATAAATAAAAAGAAATTTAATACAACACAGAATGAGCATTTCAAATGCAAAATGTGAACTGTGCAAAATGTGTTATAAGAGATACACACATAAAAATTAAAAACAATGAATACCATTGTTCTAAAACTCGCTAGGCACTAGTCGGGCGGTTGAGGGGCGCCTAGCGCCTAGGCGGCCGACTAGACCGATTTTTTAGCCGATTACGCCGATTTTTGGCCGACTAGGCCTCTACAGTTAGGACCGACTAGGCCGATTAATCGGTCCGACTAGGCCAATTTTGAGAACAGTGATGAATACTAAAACATTTATGAGTGAAATATGGATTATGAATCATACTGCAAATATAAAGGTTCTTGGCATTGCCACCAAATGACTTGTTTGGTTTGCAGAAGAAAGTAGACAAGAAAATAAAGAGAAAATGAGAAAGTGAGTAGATTTTAACTATTGCTTGGTAAAAAAGAAGAAAGTAACAACTTTCTCCATTCACTTGTAAGGTTAGCTATAAAGATGAAAGAGAGAAATGGAAACTTTTATATAGGACAATATTTGTCACGAGTTCCTTCAAAGGAGCCCTAGCTTGCTTCTTTTTGTTGGTCACCACCTTCAAATTTTCATCAATAGCCTCATTTTCCTTTGAAGAGGCCGCTGTTTTGCCCTTAGCCGTGACCTCCCCTTTTTCTTTTTCCTTTGGTGGGTTGAGCTTCATACAATTGAAAGGGTGATGCTCATACTTTTTGCAATGGTAGCAATACATATGATAGGTTTCAAAGATCACTCTTTGTGTACACTCTTTACCCGAAGGAGGAATAATAGGAAAGTTGAGAACCAGCGGTTTGGAGACATCAACTTCAATAAGGACACGTGCAAAGTTGGTAAAGATCTTCTCTTGTGTGACCTTGTCCGTCGTAATAGGAACTCCCACTTGTGAAGCAATCTTCCCAATTTATGTGGCTTGCCATAACTTCATAGATAGTTTTGGGAATTTAACCCAAATTGGCACTTTAAGGAATTCTTCACTGTCAACCGAAAAGTCATCGGAAAGTTCTTTGAGAAACATAGTCTTTTCGTATAGCACATAGGGTCCCTCGGTTAGGACCTTAGTTCGGTCCTCCTCACAAAGAAATTCAAATGTGACCCAACACTTGCTATGGGGTTTGACTTCAACGCCCCATTTGTTGGTCATAGTATATATAGCTTTGAGGCCCGGAAATCTCCCCGAGAAATGCCCCACTAAGCAATGGCCCCATACTTCAATAAGTGTAGGCACTTTAAGATGTGTGAAGTCCAATTTTCCCCCGTTGGAGGAAAATACTCAAGTTTAAGCCCACAAGTAGGTGTCCGGTTGTTTTGGAACAAAGAAGATCATTGATTTGCACCTCCAACCTCCTTTTCTTCTAGTTTTTTTTTTGTTCGGTATCTTGAGACCCAAGTGAGATGGACACATCCGGTTCATCTTCAATTATAACATGGTTTTCATCCGATGTCTCAATAGTAGTTACTTCAACATGGCTTTTCAAAGTAAGAGTGGGTTCCTTTGAGGCCTCAACATGAGAAGAGAAGGATGTCCCCAATAGTGCCTCCGCATATGAACCATTTCCCCCCGTTGCATGGGCTGCATGGGATGCCTCGGTGTTAGAATCAACACCCCCCGTTGCATGAGATGCTGCCAATGAAGCCTCGGCATTAGTGGTAGCATTGAGAGGTGTTGCCGCGGCATGGGAGTCAGTATCATTTGTGGACTTGGCATCTTGAGTACCCAAAGTTGGTATAACCTCCTTTGATATTCCTTTCTTCTTCATCTTGGCTTCCTCACTTGCTGCCTTTTTAGCTTGTAGGTACTTAATTTTGTCCTCAAACTTTTGGTCCTTAGGAGGTGGTGTCCTGTTTTGCTTGTTCTTCTTCGTCATGATGAAGAAGATGAATGAACGGTAACTTCCTCACAAGAACATGCTTCAAAAATTCTGAAAATACTCTCGTAGATGCTCTTGGTAATGGCGATCACATAAAGCATGATCAAATAGACATGCTCTTGAAAATTCTGAAACCTGCCGTTTAAATGGATATGTGCATCCATTTGTCATTATCCCGCACATAGAGCATGATCAACTATATGTGCTACTAAAAATTTGTTATGGTTTTGACTTTTAAGCACTTGAACTAACCTGCCTTGCTAAAGGTGACCAAGACCTAAAGATCCAAGGACCATGAGTGAGATCATAGGAGTCCATATCTAGTGAACGGTGATTTTTTACCCAACCTTTTGAATGATGATGAAGCTGATTTTCTAGATTTTGAAGCAACATTATCACCATTTTCTTCAGGAGTATTATTCATAGTTACTTGAGCCATTGTCAAACTTTGAATTACCTGCAATACAATTAAGATGAAAGAATTGATCTAAATAAGATTACAACATAGACAAAGTACAAAAATAAGACTACTTATGTTTTATTCCAAAATTTAACTTATTTGATCTTATAAAAAGTATAAAACTTCCCTAATTAGGAGGAAAACAATAAGTCCTATTTGAACACTTTGTCTTTGGTTTAGTCAATTGAACATATATACCTAGTACTTCGTAACAGTTATTTTTAAATATACCACTACTTACGACAATATATGTAAGCACTAAAGTAATAAAATAGATTCAAATAACATTAAAACATCTAGAAACTTAGAACTTAATTTGGAATCATAGCACAAAACTACTAAATCACCGAAATTCAAAGTTTTCTTGAATGGAAGTATTAATATAATGAAAGTTTTCTTAAGACAATGTTTCAGTAAACTGCCTGCAAAAAATCGAATAGTAAAATTGAAAAAAAATAGCGGCTTACATAGCAGGAGTGACGATGGAGAACGGATTCGGCATGTTACTAGCTGAGCAGAAGAATAAAAAGAGTAGACCGCTAGGGTGTAGACCGGTGCGTCCGGAGAAGTAAAAAACGAACTAAAAGCTTATAAGGCGTCAGATGTTAAAAAACAATATGTACGGCCCAGATTTAAATTAAAACATATCTAGAAACATCATTGTCTCTAGCAATTTATACCGTGCAACCGGAGCACGATGAGGATGGTGAACCCGGTTTCAAAACGAGGCAGCATGTCGTGCCTTCATTCAAAACGATGCAGTATGTCGTGGCTTCATTCCATTATTTTTTATTTCTTTTATTGTTAAAAATTGTAATAACTTTTTTATTTGATATCCGATTTTTATAAAGTTTATATCAAATTTTTTATTTTTCATTATCTATCAAATGAAAGCAATATTGCTTATGTAATTTTAACAAACTATTTTGAAGTTACATTTGATAATATATCATGAAGTTACATCTTCTTCTGCGCGAGTTACATCTTATTGTACGCGAGTTACATCTTAATATACGCGAGTTACATCTTAATGTATGTGAGTTACACCACGAAATAAACCTCTGATATATCATTTTTATAGCCTTAATATTAAACATAAAACATATTCACTATTTAAAAAATAATAATTAAGCTATTAGGATCAATTTTTCATTGTTTTCATTGAAATCAATGTTTATGACATATATATTATTCTCAAACACACACAAAAAAATTGTTCAATTTTTCAACAAGTTACATTCTGTATACATCTAAGTTATATCTGCCATCAACACGAGTTACATTTGTAATAACATGAGTTACATTAAAAATCAACCCCTGTTATTCAAACAAAAAATATCTTTTTTAAATAATTATTTTCGTAAAGTTACATATTTTTACACTTAAAGTTACATATTTATACACGCGAGTTACATATTTATACACATGAGTTGCATTTGACTTGTCTGAACGCGAGTTACATATTTTTTTACGTAAAGTTACATATTTTTACACGTAAAATTACATATTTTTACACACGAGTTGCATTTGGTCTGACTGAACATGAGTTACATATTTTAACACATAAAGTTACATATATTTTACACGCAAATGTTAATATGTTAAAATTACATAGGCAATATTGGTCTCATTTGAAAGATCATGAAAAATAAAAAAAATGATATAAATTTTATAAAAATAGGATCAAAAAAAATTATTAACAATTTTAATAAAAGGAAAAATAAAAAATAAAGCATGATGCTTCCCTGTCTAAGCACGGGTTCCGCGGTCTAAGCAAGCACCGTCTCTCTGCTTCCCTGTCCGAAAAATCTCCATTCTTCATCGCCGAAATCATAGTTCGACCTCTCTTATTATTGCTGAACAGGTGAAGTAGAAAACTCTTCCCTATTTTGTTAATTCAATTCCCTAGTGATTTTTTTTCTATATACTCGTCTAGTCGTCGCATGTATATAGAGATGGTAGAGAGAGGTGTAATACGGTTAAGGACACCTATGCATTTTTTTTATATAGGTATTCATTAATCCCGTATGAATAATAAAAAGTCCTGATGAAAAATCAAACATAGAATGCTTCGTTTTATTAAATTAATGTGTTTTTAATTTTTGGAATTAATTTATGAGTTCAATTTATTTCAGTTTTACATGAAATAAATCATTTTATGTTCTTACATTTTTAACAAGTTCAATATATTATTTTGAAGTACATTGTTTGTTATGTTCTTATTTTAGTGTATATCTTATTCGCCCTTATTTTGAAGGTAAATACGATGATATGTACCTAAAAATTAACAATATCTATTGCTCTTCATAGTTAAGATTGCTGCCTGGACAGAAACACATGTTCTATTATATTCTGCTAATTGATTCTTTTTAGATAAATACTTTTTTAATGGGCAGGTATTGCATTTGGCATGTTAAGCAAAGTATCTGAAAAAGGAGGCCCTCTCATAACCTCCCTCCCAACCTTTTGACGGCATTTATTATGCTATTAAACACTTCGAGAAACCTGAAGAATTTGAAGTACAATGGGATTATGTTAGTAAGGAAATGGTTGGCGAGATAATGATTGGATGTCTTACATGTTTGAGATTATGTTTTTTCAGCCAGCATGTTAACAACTCAAAGAAGTGACCACACATTCTTTCCTAAAAAAATTGTGTACAGAGGGTGCGGTTTCACCTACTTTGTGACCCAATTTAACAGAGCACTTTCAAGGCCGAGACATCATGAGAAGCAATCAGGCCATTGAGATAGAAATGGGTGACCTAAGTTGCAATATGGGACACAACCGGAGGTACAACTTGCCAACACAATCTGTAGGTGCATTTTAGTGATTCCATTTTTTGAATGAAAGAGCCTAAATCTTTAGGTGCATTTTAGTGATTCTATGTTTTTTAATCAGAGCCTAAATCTTTAGGGGCATTTTAGTGATTCTATTTTTTTGAATCAGACCCTACATGATCTATTTCTCAACAGAAAGAAAATGAGAGAAAAACTCTATTTTTTCCTTAATAGGTTCCTGACCACATTATCAAAGCTTGCTATAAGAAAGTATTCACATTTTTTATGTAATCACACATAGATTGTCTAGCTTGCTATAAGAAAACTTTCCTAAAAAACTTGTGAAGTGGCTAAATATATGAAATAATATGATATAACTATAACAAGAATACATTGGAGTCCAAACTAATATCAGATAGTATAATTTAACTCCATCATATCCTGCCATTACTTTATTACATGGTTCTAAAAAGGGAAATTTCCCGGGATATGACTAAAACATATTGAGTTTCCCTAAATATGACTAGTTATGTTTTTAGACATTCGTATGACTGAAAAAGAAAAAAAAAGAAAAAATCGTTCATATTAAAATGTTTAATGACCAAAATACCCTTACTTAAAAAATAAGCATTTTACGCTGTTTTTGTCCTATTAAAAATACTGCACTTTGTGATGCAGTTGCTGCATGACATTACTGCATGACATTACTGCACACCCGCTAACATATCACTGCACTTCCTCCAACATTAGTTCTCTTTTCATCCACTTTAAGAATTTATTTATAGTTCATTTTTTAAAATTTAATAATTTTAGTATTATTTGTCCAATTAACTACACTGCACTTTCATGCCGGTGTTACTGCTCTACATTACTGCACTGCAAGTCATAATCACTGCACTTTCTGTCAAAATTATGACACAATCTATTGCATTTGATTTACTGCATAACACACTTCGTCAATGCATCTATTCATTGAACATGTATAACATTATCTATTGCCATATTGACTCCTCATAATGAATCATATGTATTGCCATATTCATTGCTCATGTTCACTGCCCATATGGATTATGTCTACAAACCCTAATTTCAAGAAATTCAAAAACTCCTCCTGCCCCATTAGATTCCACGTACGTGAACCATACTCACTACTTCATCAATCAATTACCACCTTCTATCTCAAATTTGTGAGACAACCACCCCTCATCAATCAATTATTACCTTGCCCACAACGATTTAATAATCCCAATAGAAAAGTCAAAATTGAAATCGAAGATAAAAATAGATGTGAGGATGTCAAATCAAATACATAATACGAAGCACATATATTCCATTGTGTTGTAATCGGCGATGATTCAAGGAGTTGCAGATGATGGTTGGGCGGCTGGGCTGCAGTGGCTGGGCGGCGATGGCTGACGACTGGGCAGCGATGGCAGGCGGATGGACGGCGGTGGCAGAAGGGACTGGACAGAGAGTGAACTACAACTAGGGTTGGAGAAGAGGTATAGGATGTTAGGATTTTATAACAATAATCTAAGGGCATATTAGTCCATATAAATTATGTATTTAATTATTTATTAATATATTAATTAAATATTACGAATTTTAATATTATTTTGGGGGAAAAACTCATTAAGTCATAAATTGGGAAAATGATGGAATTTTAGTCATACATAGGGTAATTACCTCTTCTAAAAATCTGCCTAGGCGTCGCCTAGTCGCTAGGCTTTGGCCGGGTGCCCCGACTTTGTGATAAGCGGTGAGAAAAGTCGGTCGGACGCCTAGGCGGGCTAGGCGGGTGGGCTAGACAGGCGGCTAGGTGGCTAGGCGGGCTAAACGGTGGCTAGGCAGGCTAAACGATGGCTAGGCGGCCCGGACTAAATTTGTTATGATTCAACTTATTTTTTCCATTTTATGTAAATACACCATTTGACCAATAAGTATTCTATTCCTCTAAAATTCACCATCATATTCCTACAACAAAATATAATAATTAAATGTATATAAACTTTTTAGAAAGTATATAAACATTTTTTAAACTAAAAACCGCAAATCACTTAATTTATCTATTAATTATTTTATCATTGATAATTTAATGACAAAATGCATAACATTTAATGATTATATGAGCTATTTCTATTGTTAAAATATTATAAATTTATTAGTAAAAATGGTTAAAATTCATAGAAAATGAAAAAACAAATAAAGGAAATAGCTAGGTGCCCTAGTCGGTGCTCGCCTAGGTGGACAAGGGGCTAGGCAGCCGGTAAATGCTTGACTAGCGCCTAACGCCTTTTAGATCACTGCTTTATTCTAATATCAAAGTCCAACAACAAAATTAGCAGATAGATTACTCTAGGTTGTGAAGTAATAAAAGGTCACTTCACATTTTGTAAGAATACTCTAGGTCGAGAGAATCGGTTGTGTGTTCTTAAAGAAAACTCACATATAACTCAAAGAAAACTCACACATAATTTAGGAATACTATTCAGGTTAATTCAAACTTTACTGTTGATTTGGACATTTTGTTTAGTTTAGGCTCTATACTGCTTAATTGAATATTTGAATGAGAGCCTAAATAATCCATTTCACTAACTGTATACTTTGCTTCTCTATCCAACCCATTTCACTTTTCATTTCAATCATATTTGATTGCACTTCCAGAATGGAGATTTCATCCCCTTTTTCTTTTAAACCTTCCAATTTTATATTTTGATTTCCATTTGTGTTTTATTTCTCTGCAATAGTTTTCTTTCTTTCTTCTTCCTCCTTTTTACTCCATATCCCTTTTTTACATACTACTATTCAGTTAATTCTCTTTTAAAGATCTTTATTCCCCGCACTACTCGTTAATATTTTATTTATTTTTATTTTAAGTTTTGCTCTTCTTTTTATTTTCCTTTTTTCCTGTTTTCGTCATCTTAGAAGCCATTGTTTTTCTATTTGTTCCTTTTCACCTCATCCTTTTCGCCTGTTTTTGACATGTTAGTGACTTGTGACTCGTTGTCCTAGATTTCTTCTTATTTTCCCCTTTCAACTAACTAACTTATGTCCCATCTTTCATTATATTTTATTTTTTCCTTAATTTTTTTTACGAAGGGTTTTTCCCGTAATTGATGGAAAAACAATGCGCAAAAAGGAAAAACAATGCGGAGAAAGGAGAAACAATATATCGATTGTGAAATTAAGATAACAATAAGAAAGAAAAGACGAAAGAAGAAAAAAATACAAAAAAAGTAACAAGAAAGAAAAGGGGGAGAGTGATTTTTTTTATCAAAAGTAGAATGGAAAAAGACCTTTTATAAAAAGAGAATGATTGAGAAGAGAAATACATAAAGAAGGGAAAAAAATAAAAATTATGGGAAGAAGAAGAAAATGACAAAAATATTTGCCGGAGTACGAAATTTTGCAAAAAAACTCTCCTAATAGAGTGACAAATAGAATACACAAATATGGAAAAAAATAAAAACAAAAAGACAAAAAAATAATAAAAAATGTCTAGGGATTCAAATAAAGAAAGAAAACTATAAGGGAGAAAAAAGAAAAAATGAAACATGAGACCGTTTTGAGAAGATATGTGCAAGATGGGATTATTCGTGTAATGTTTCCAAAGAACACACAAAAAGCCTGTTATAGCAAAGCAGGTCATCTGGAGACCAACGAAAGAAGATGATCTGCAAAGATAAGATTATTCTGAGATTACGTAAATGTGAGATTATTCTTAGAAATCTGCTGAAATGTGGGATTATTATTGTCATTTTTTAAAAATTTATTTTAATTTTTAACATGTAAACACAAGATATCATCAAAAAATAGTCATAAAAATAATGTTTGAAATAATAATAATAGTCATTTAATAAATAAAAATAATACTATTTCTTTGGATTGTTGTTGTTATGATTATAGAATCAAACCAATTATAATCATTATTATATAGTTAATATATAATGAAACGTATTTCTTAGGATGTTTGATGTTTCATATAAGTAGTGTATGTGTCATAGAATTGAACTGTGGTTCCCGATCAAGCAATATATGCTCCCTTTATCCGTTAGTCCTTTATTGTTTATATATGTGCATCAACTAATATGTGTGTTAAATAGAGTAGCCAAATAAAGAAGAGATAATTGAGTGTGTATACAATTTTTAGTACGGAGTATGTTCGTTTAAGTTAATGTTATATGGAGTATTTATAAAAATAAAGTATAACTTCTTTTTTTCTATAAACTTATCAGTTATATGTATGTACATCAATAACATTAAAATTCATAAAATTTGATATTATATTAGTACATATTTTATTTTCATCTACGATTGGATTTTGTATTTGACTTCATCCCATAAGGTTCTAATATGACAGCCATTTCTCACAATTTTTAGGCCATACACTTCAAACATTCATTTATGACAATAAACATTCACTCACAATTATAAAGTCCTAATTATTTATTCTTATCATACTTCATCAATCACACAATGTATAACATAACAATAATAAACATTTAATACTATCCATATTGTATTTTCATAAAATACAAATAAAAAATACCCCGTAGTAACATGTTTCTAATGACTTTTTTTTATTCGAAGTTACTATCACATGTTTCTTAGGAATTTTATCCTCGTAGCAAAAAGTCTTACAAAGCGTAGTCTATGAGTAGCAAAACATTAATTCAGCTTACCTATCAATTTGCAATACATACAGGGAACTTGATGAAATTCAACTCCGGAGTATTGAATGGAAAACTTGTTTTTGTATAATTGGGATGTGAAAAGTGACGAGCATTTTGTCGTAGTGCGTCAAAATAAATTCAATACTTACACTTATACGTAGTATAACGTAGTAGAGTTCGTATCCACAGGGAAAGGAATAATTCTCTTTTTATGAACTAATAAATAAAAGGGGTTTTGGGGTTGAATGATTTAATTTAATAAGAAACTAAGATGAATAACATATATGTGTTTTAATTCAAAGATAAAAGGACTTGGCTTTACTACTTTCCACTTGTTGATATATTTAGTCGATCCTTGTTATATCTATAACTTATCCTCTCTCGAATACTCAATCGAGGAGTATATCCAATTCATCAAGGTAGTTATTAACAAGGGAGATTTCAACAAATAAGACTTAATCATACTAATTTTCCAAAATTAAGACTATAGATTAGGGTAAGACTTAAGTACAGGAGCTTTGACCAAATTGCCCTTCATTTTGCCCTTCGTTTTAAAACCCATGCGCATCAAACAACTTCAATTCGCATCCCTTGCCCATCGTTCCAAACAACTTCGCATAAAACCCCTGCCCTTCGTTCCAAACAACTTCATCGATTCAGATCGATCAAATTACCACCGCCGCCGATGTCGAAATCACCGTCGCCAACGCACTAGATACCTACTCCGGTTGACTTCATCGGACGCCACCGCCAAAGGTGTTTTCTTCTTTCTCATCTTCTTCTTCTTCTTCTTCTTCTTCTTTTCTGATTTTGGACATTGATTTTGCCAATATCGAACTTCTATTTCATATTTTCACAAGGCCACCATGTGTCCTGCAAAACTTTTGAAGAAATCAGATCCAAAATCAAACTTGCAAACACTAGACAATACATAAACATTAAGTAGTCAGTAAACAGACAATAATTTCGAATAATAACTCAATAGCAGACAATAAATAAACAATAAGTAATCATTAAACAGATAATAAGTTATGATAATAGCTCAATAGCAGAGCAGGTCAGGTAAAACAATATATATACACACACACAATTCACTATATCTAATGATGAAATTATATTGAGAGGTTGTCGAGAACTCCGCAATGAAGCAACATAGGTAATCTAGCCCTCATTAAAATCGTCGACGACCATTAATGGTGGAGCCGTAGACTCCAGAGCCAAGATCTTCCGGAATGTATCATTAGAACAGACGGACATTTTCAGACTCCGCAATGAAGAAGGATGGAGAGCTGGAAGAAACATCGTTATAACCTACGTCATCAGCGTTAGTTTTAATAAGTCAGCGTTAGTTTTAATAAGTGAAGGGTAAAATTGGAAATTTAAAATCAAGTTCTCAAAATTAGAACTACATAGCTCTTAAGGAAGGAAGAAACATACGTATGTACTATTTTTATAAAATTGCTTTGATTAAGTCCTACACGGAGCAATTTTCTCTATTAACAACGACCGTTCATTAACAACTCTTACTATTAATCAAATATAGAACAACGCCGTATACCGATTTAATAGTAGCATTTAATCTTTTTAACTTCTTGATGAAATCAATTGAGATTGATAACCTCAACACAACGGTTTCGGTTTAACCAACAAAATTAATCCCTCTTAAGTCTATTAACCACGAGCATGCATTATTAAACTGAAGTTACTTACTTGTGAAATCATCAACGATTAACCATCGGTTCGTTGATCGTTTCTAGTAATAATTAATGTAGAAGTGTTAACTAATTGTCACTTAGCAACACCCCAACATTAATATAGAATGAGATTAAGGGAAGAATTAATATTCAAGGAGAGAAGTTAAGAAAATAACTCACAACTTTAATAATCAACAAGTTTCAAGAGCAAAACCAAGAAATGGAAGTTTAGCTCCTCATTTGGAGACTAAACATTGCTAGAAAAATATAAAGAAATGCTATTCTAAACTAAGCTTAAGAGTATGGAAGAAGGAATATTTAAAAGTGAAGGAAAAGTGTGCTATTTATATGTGTTGTCAACACCCTCCAGGGGAAGATACCCGACCGGGTAAATATCAAAATCAAATATTCCCCACGCTCTTGTGTTCTTCAGCACGTTTAATTGTCTGGGTCACTTCATACCCGAGTACCCAACCGGGTGCCATATCCGACCGGGTATGTATGAAATTTCCTAGCAACTTCCGTTTTCACTTCCTACCCGATCGGGTAAGTAGTATACCCAACCGGGTAAGTCATCTGGACAGTTTACTTCACTTCAAAGTCCTCTTTTCCAACACTACAAATCCTAACACTAATTTACAACTTACAAATGAAAGCTAAAATACAATTACAACTAAAATCACACAAATGTTTACAAATTAAATAAAAAGTCAAACAATCAACATAAATCAAACATAAAAACATACCATTATGCACTACTAATTAGTGTGCATCAGAAAGTTACAGAATTTAGGAAAAACTATTAGTTAACCCAGTTCTTTATTAGTGTTCAAGCACTCGTGTGTGAGTTAAGTTCTCGGTATAAACCTGATATGTTTGACCAATAAGCTTTAACTCCCTCATAAAGTGTAATGAGAACCTGAGGACACGTGAAATAAATTAAATAAGACGGTTCCATGCGAGCAGTGGTGTATAAGCAGGCGTTAAGAATTTGGTGGATTGTTCAAGCAACTCATATTTAGTTCTCTGAAGGATTACGTTTGAGGTGAATTCTTGTGAGCCCGAGATTAGTCTAATGAAGTCAGATATCAGTCTAACTGTGTAAGGCACCGGTGACTCGCTTGTTAATTTAAAAGGAGATTCTTTTTAATCCTAATATCTAAGCTAGCCTTTTAAATTCACATGGTCACTTAAATTTAAAATCTTACTCACACGTTAGAATAAGTGTGAAATGTAAAAATTGTTTGGTAACTTCTGTTTTCAATTTATTAGTCTTATGAGTCAACATTTTATCCAAATAAGTTACCAAAATTATTGTAGAAGATCATTTTAACTAATTTTCGTGTAATTTTTTCCTTACTTTATTAATAAAATGTATATTAAAAAAATTTCAATAGATTCTGTCGATTCAAATAGTTCCTATAGAAATTCCATCCATTTCAGTATGTTCGGTCGACTTCAATGTGATCAAAAGGGCTCACCATCTCAGGGGGCCATCTTTGTAGGCCTGGTAGCTAGTGTTATGAGAGGTCAAATATCTTGGGAATGAAGGCACAGACCATTTTGAGGACAAGAATGATTATCATCATTGGACCCACAAACCTATTAGTATTACAAAAGAGAAGATCACTGACTTTCGAACACATAAACCTCCCAGGATCACAACACGAACTTGCTAAACAAAACCTTGATGTTTTCCCTTCGAAAAACCTTTCAACGCCACTATCAGATTGGTCATATCACATAAGGAACTATGTATCCCAAAAGAAGTATGAAGAAGCCATTTTGCTCTATGCCCGAAACAGCTTTACGAGAAACTTAGTATTAGGTGCCGTACCCCTTGTGCTAAAGGCTTGTGCCTCACTCTCTGATATTGTTCTTGGCAATGCATTACATGCTGATTGTATAAAGTCTGGAGTGGAATTGGATGTAATGGTAGGTACTGCATTGGTTGACATGTATTGCAAATGTGGCAACATTGTGAGATCGCGCCAGATGTTTGATGATATGCCTAAGAGAAACACTATCACATGGAATGCAATGATAGGTGGGTATATGAAGAACGGAGATACAAAATCTGCATTCATTCTGTTTGAGAGTATGCCCGAGAAAACTTCCGTAACATGGAACGAAATGATCCATGGCTATGGGAGAAACAGAGACATGGCAATGGCAAAGCTGTTTTTTGATAAGGTACCAAATGAGTTGAGAAATGTGGTGACATGGACTGTGATGGTTGATGGTTATGCTAGCAGTGGGGAGATGGATGCTGCAAGGGAAATGTTTGAGATGATGCCGAGAAGGAACTTTTATGTCTGGTCATTGATGATATCAGGGTATTTCAAGGCGGGTGAAGTCAAGAGTGCTAAAGATATTTTTGAGAGGATGACATCAAAGAATTTGGTAATTTGGAATTCACTTATTTCTGGATATACACAAAATGGGTTGTACAAGGAAGCTTTAGGAACATTTAAAAGGATGCAAGATGAAGGGTTGGAGCCAGATGAGGTTACAGTAGTCAGTGCTTTATCAGCTTCTGCTCAGCTGGCTTTACTGGATGTTGGAAAGGAAATACATGAGATGATTATTCAAAAGGGTGTTAATGTGAACCGTTTTGTTCTGAATGGGTTAATTGACATGTATGCCAAGTGTGGTGATTTAAGGAATGCCAGATTGATCTTTGAAGGAATGCCACATAAAAATGACACCGCTTGGAATTCTATGATATGTGCCTTGGCCATTCATGGACAACATAAGGAGGCTATCGACTTTTTCACAAGAATGGTGAACTCTTTTGGTATGACTCCTAATGAAATTACATTCCTCTTAGTGCTGTCTGCGTGTGCACATGGTGGGTGTGTACATGAGGGTATGTCAATTTTCAATATGATGGAGAAGAATTATGGGTTGATGGCAAACATCAAGCACTATGGTTGTTTGGTTGATCTTTTAGGAAGAGCCGGGAAACTAGAAGAGGCTCTTGATTTGATCAAACAGATGCCTATAAATCCTAACGACACTGTTTTTGGATCTCTGCTTGGAGCATGCCGAATTCACTGCAATATGGATATAGCAGAACGTGTGCTTGAGGAGGCTGAGAAGCTGAACTCTAGCAGTCGCTCATGTGACGGTTGCCATTATGTGTTGATGTCCAACATTTATGCTGCCTCTGATCGGTGGGAGAAAGCTGAGCATACAAGGTTTTCCCTGTCAAATAAAGGGTCCGAAAAGATGCCTGGGTGCAGCTCAGTCATGCTTAAAGTTTCTAACTAGAGTATGTAATTTGAGTTTTATCACTTTTCTGGCTTCTACAATTCTTCTCTTGGGTGGCGGTAGACTGGGACGTATCCATGACTATATGTGCATGCGTCGGAACTTATTTTAGTACAGTATTACCTTTCTACAATTAGTCCCATAGAACATCCCATGATTTCTCCTTTCCTCTCTAGTCTCCATATCCGTCAAGCTATTCACTGATCTTCAATGATCTTCCATATCCTCCTATATCCAGCAGGTATTCCATTTTCTCTCCATTTAAGCAAAAGTTCATCTTGTTTCAATTATCTAGAGATGAAATACAGTTATGATGTTTTTGTTGTATTGATAGAGTCCAATTGAGTGATAGTCATTTGTTAGTTTCCAAAACTGTGTTTAATTTTTGGATTTTTAGTTTGAAATTGGTACCTTTATGGTTGATTTGCGAAAAAAATTAGGTTAAAGGTGTTTGTTTTTTATGAGCTAATACACGGACTATATCGATGAGAGTTCTGGTAGATGTGAAATCAAATCAAATGTATTTCTTTAGGTCATCATAGCTCAACTGATTTTAAATCACTCTTAATCAAATTTACTTATATTATAGTGAACTTAATCAAATTGTACACTTCACAGAGTAGTGGGTAATAGAAATCACTAACCTCTATCAATTTATATTGCTATCCTCATGTGTATATTCTGATCTGGTCAATGTTTCTTGGTGGTTGCAGCTTCGAGAATCCAATAATGCAATCCTTGTGAAACCTTTATTGGGAAGACAGTAACTTTGAAGTTCAGGATAATAACACCACTGATAAAATCAATGCCAAGATCCAGGTGCAATTCGCAATTCATGCTCTGTCTCATTCTCCTTATTGAAAATTTAAAGAGAATTTAAATGTTCTACTTCTGTACGCACACCTTATTTGCCTTCTCGTCAAGAAAAATACTTTCAAATGATGTTGGTTATAGTAAATATTGTAAGCTTGAAACTTATTTGGCAAGTTTTATTAGAGCCAAAAAATTGATATACATTCTCATTTAAAAACACACAGTATCTCTGCGTGTTTTTAAGTTGTTATTGAGATTTCTATTATGATTAGAATTACAAAACATAGAATACATGAAAACAATGAAGCTCAAAATACTCTGTTTTTTGTATATACTATATATAATGTTGATAATATTTTTATCGAAATGTGGTTGTGTATATGCAGCTGAAATAAAATTCATTCATTGAAATAGTACATATAAAAAATGAGTTTATGACTCAAGAAGCCTTTTTTTTGAATGAGCTATAAACTTTTCATTAGGGATTAGATGTGGAGCTGGAGAGACCCATGGTTGTGTAGGCTCTTGCTCCTTTCAATAGTTTAAGTTGGCATACTTTCATTTCCTCATTAATAAAATTACTTCTTTCAAATACGATGTACGGAGTATATAATACCACACACATAGAGAGAACATTCCTGCTTGTATGCTCAAACTTCATACGGAGTATGAAAAAGAAGAGGTAGAAGGGTTGAGTGGCGTTCATTTTGAATGAGGTCCCTAGTGTTTATAGGGAAAAATTGATAATCCTTCCTAAAGAAGATTCACGTGTCCCAATGACAGGCTGGAAAGAGTATACTGATTTTTGCTTTTTCTTTGTAGGTTTCAGTACACATGCGCCAATGCACAGGACGCAGGTTCATTGAGCCGGACTATTTTTCCTACTGAAGTGCTACTATAGCTGAAATGTCCAATCGCTATTTACTTTTTTTTAGTGATGATGCATACTATTCAACTTTTACTGTAGACGATGTTTACTTATTCAACTTTTTATTCAACTTTTTATTACTTCGTATGTATCATTTCCAGTAGGATCTTTCTTCAAGATTTTGCTTTTGGGCTTCTATTTAATGTACCCAGCAGAGGGCTATTTTTGTAATTTCCATTTATTTACTCTCTTAGTCTCTTACCTTAGGATTTTGGGAGGGAACACTGTTCAAAGAATAGTGCCAAAAACCTTTTGCTTTTATATAATGATAGATGTCTGCTTGCTTTTTCACGTTTGAATCTTATAGTGTAAAAATATTAACTGCTCTCTGTCTCTTTCAGAATGGAAAGTCAATTTAATGAAGGGCTCCGGTGTATAGAAGATGGACCAGAGCATGAGTGTAGTGAAAATATCTTGCACATCTTCTCAAAAAGTCCACTTAACACACAGCATCAAGAAGTCCATGGACCAGATAAGGTTGAAGTTTGTAAAGTCATTTGGGACCAACAAAAGCATCTTGAGAATGTTATGGTACTGAACACCTCAGTGTTAGGGAAAGAAAAATATGGAGGAAAGTAGAGGAGAATTTTGATAAGAAAGACTTTAAAAAAATACAAACATGGTTCAAGCTTAGTAAGCCAATTTTAGATAATCTTTTCAAACTCATTTTAATTCTATATTTCTTTGTGTTCAGCATAAGAAAGCTAAATGCAAATTTTTTAAGGTGTTTGAGTAAAAAACAATTTTCCGATTTATTCTCAAGGTAAATTAAAACAATAATTTTATTGCCCCTAGTATACTTATTCATTCCTTGTCATTTTCCAGGGTCGTAACGAGTGAAGAACTAGCATCTTTAGGAAACAGTTTTCTAGAGCGCTTTCAGGTAGGAGGACTTGGTGAGCTCCATGAAATTCATCTAGTAACTGATAGGGACAAACGTTCTATATTTTCTTTTCTTATAGTCATGCATACCTCTTTCTCAAGCATTATATGTTCTAAGATATCTAACTGAAGAAATCTGATATAGTAGAGTGTAATATTGGATAAAATAATGAAACCGAGAGGATGCTATCCGATATCGAAGTTGGATTCAAGAATACAAATGACAGTATTCAGAATTAAAACAAGTGTAAGTGTCTTGTGCTCATATTCATATGTAAACCACACAATGTGATGGAATTCGAGATTGGGTCGAGGTCATTCAACTCGGTCATATTGAAATCAGGACAAACCACACCATATAAAAGATTAAATCCAATCGATTAGCTTATCTTACCCAAGACCCTACAAGTCATTCTCCCTTTGATATTTAGATGCAGGACTCCTAACACAATACAACCCTTTTAATACTCCGTCATAAAAAATTCTGTTTTGTGCTTGCAGAAATGCATGTTGGACTTCAGAATCATAAGTCGAAAGGTATTGCACACCCAGAAACTGCAATCAATTTTGTTGTTGATGTTTTTCATCAATAAATAGATCATTCAATATAGTATGCATCAATATCTTCCTGGTAAAAACTTAACTGTGGTATTGCATGTATGATTAATTGCAGCAAAAGACTTCATGCTGATGCAGTAAAAGTGAAAAATAAATTAATACGGAGTAATAGTCTGTCTTACGTGATAGATAAAGATAACGGTTATTGCATTTTGGACTGGAACATCTTTAACTGAAAGAATATTATTTTTGCAAAATTATGGCTGAGATGACTGATTATTTTGAATTGGCTATAATATTGTTTTTAAATTATTTTTTAAAAAATAAAGAAATTGTTTTATAAAAAATGATGGTTTTAGACTTTTAGTGCCATCATAGGCGAGTTCATCCATATAGTAAATTTTACTTGATTTTGTTTTATCAAGTTATGAACCAATCCAGTTATCATACTGACATGGTTAGTCTTTGGACTTTGATCAAAAGTAATTGTCCTGAATAGGACTAAAACTTAATGAAAATTCACTAATAGGACTTTAAGCTTTTTATTCCTTAAGTAGGACTCTATTAGTCCCATGTAAAAACATAATAAAATTTCATACCATTAATACCTTTCTTTTAATTAATACCTAAATTCTCTTCCTTTCCTTTCCATTCTCTCTTTCTTGAGCTCATCGATCGAAATTCTTCCATGCGACTTTCTTCTCTGTGACTTCTCTCTGTGCATCGTGGACCACGGCTGCCGAGTCTCCGCCTCACGCCGCCGCCGTTGTCATTAGCGACTTCACCACGCACATCACATGTTTCTTCTTTTTCTCCTCCTTCTTCTCCTCCTTCTCCTTCTTCCTTGATCTCCTCCTACTCCTCCTATTCCTTTACTTTCCTAGATTTGATATTGATTTTACGATTTTTCTCCTTTTCATATGTTTTTCTAGGGTTTGACATCAATTTTGCCAATTTTCACACTTCTATTTTGTATTTTCTTAATTCTTTAGTTTTTTAAAAAGATCTGATTTTCCAAAATTTTGAATGATGGTTTCATATTTTGCCACGTTTATGGCAGAAATATGTACACTGACAATTGTATTATGGAAAAATGGTTTTGTATAAACTGGTTTTTCTGATTTTGTTGCCATCAGCTTCATATTTTTATATTTCGATTGTATTGAAGTGCTTATTTCACTATTTTTCTGAATATTTGTTTAATGCTTTCATATTTTTGTCAAATTTAGGACAGTTTTGTGTTAAGTTTCAAAGTTAAATCTGCCAACTTTATGGCGGAAATTAAAAATCTTGTTCATGGCAGATTTGATATTATTTTTCAAGGCTAAATCTGCCAACATAGTGGTAGATGTATGGCGAGTTGCAATGACGGCTATGGTGCTCGGAGGTGGACCAATGGCACACTAGAGAAGGCGAAGGATAGTGACATGAAGATGGTGAGGGCGGTGAATTGTAGCTTTGGTTGGGGTGACGTCACCAGGCGGCGATGGATGGTGGCACCGGCGAAGAGGCATTGTACGGTGGCGCCTATGAGGGGTGTGGCGCCAGATTATTCCGGCGACGTCGGTGGAAGGCAGTGGCGATAAACGATGACGGCGGCGGTGGCACCCGGCGGCGGCGGTGGCACCCGGCGGCGGCGGTGGCACCCGGCGGCAGCGGTGGCACCTGGCGGCGGCGGTGGTGCTTGCGAGGGGCGGCTGTGGATCCAAGTCTGGCGGCGGCAGTGGTAGTGCATACGAGCAGTTGAAACCGTAGGGTTTCAACAGTTTTATTTTAATTTTACAATTTTAAAATTCAAAAAATTAAAACATGGGTAATTTTGTCCAAGTGTGATGAATTTGGTCCTATGAAACGTAGTTAACATAGGTTGTGCACATCAATATTCTTTGATCAATACCCTGATTGACAATCCATAAAAATGTCTACCAAAATACGTTGATCCACATATCTAGCATTGAGAAATCTACTTTCACAAATAATGTGATGTAGTCGACATTGCTATGATGATGACATAGTATGCAGTACTAGGGTGAGCATGGGATGATATGGGGTAGTTATTTAAAAAACATGTCCCGTCTCAAAGTATATTTCTTTTAAAAATCAAAGAAACGGTACTGTCCCAAATATATATAGAACCTGGCCCATTTCGTACAGATTTTCGGTATGATTTTTCAGTACGATTCGATTCCTAAATAATTAACCACCACAAATTCAAAAATATCAACAGTAAAAAAATCAAAAACATTTTACATTTTAGCGTATATATAAGTGAATGGAATGTAGGTTTGAAAAGTTTACGTTAAACTAACCTGGTGCAATCAAACCTTACTGAAATACAAAACTAATAGTGAAACTATAATAAAGAAAGGTGACCAAAGCTTTGAGTAACCCTTGTGTAGATTATTGGCTAATATAATATATATATATCATTTTATATAACCAATTTTTTGGGACGATAAGGATGGTTCGAGACGGTTCGGTTCAATACGATTCTCGGACGATTTTTCTCTTAAGAACCGGTACTATATTATATTATTAGAAAAGTTCGATATGGTTTAATACAATATTACGAGTATTTTTTTATTCGTTCGGTTCTGGTACAGTTCAAGACAGTACTCAGTATGGAATGGAAAGTCTCAGATCCGTGCTCACCCCTACTTTGCAAGTTGTATGACTTCAAGCAACGAAAATCTTCTATGTACTGTGCCACCGCCAATGGACTTGCTGAAGCTTTCAATAAGACTTTGTGCAACCTACTAAAGAAAGTGGTGTCAAGATCGAAGAACTATGGGACCTTCATGTGGCAATACAATTGCACAGAGCCAACGTGATACAAATGCCACTAAGTAAATGTCCTCATATTCAGCATGAGTCTTGAGTACGTAGAAAGGAACCTTCGTAGGATTTGATCATCCACCAAATTTTGGAATTGCTTCCCTGGAATTATGGGTTGCTTTAGCACGGATGAACTTTTCTTTTCGTTTCTCAATGGAGGCATGACATACTTGGAGGGCTTCTTAAATCAGAATTTGACCCATGTGTGAACACTCAAACCACATTTGTCTCCCGCCTTCGAAGAAAGATGATGATATGCATTAAATAAGTATTTGCAAAGTTTAAGAGGATAGTCAACACTCGTATCTAACAACGTAGAAGTACACGGAATAGATTGATCACATAGGCGTATCCTATAATAGGTGATCCTCCAATAACATGCATGCCCCAAAGTTTGATCGTCATTGATGTAAGCTAAGTATTCACTAAAGTGCACCGATCATATGTGAACAAAGAGGCATAAATGGCACCATAAATAAGCCCCTCCTCGAGAATGTTTTCACTCAGACTCAGAATATCCTCAGCCTATTCCCAAGAACCCATGATATATCTAAACTCACAATCAAATGATAGATTATTTTTGAAATGAATGTTTTCATCAAGGATACGTCTACTCAAAGAAGGAAGAATCCCATAAGAGTGCATATGACGAAAGCCTAATATCAAAGTAAGCATTGTTTGAGCTTAATACTCGCACAATCGCACTCAAGAGTCCTGTCAGTAATACGGTACGACACAATAGTTACGGGCCAGAAACCACGAGAAAATGGCTTAAAATCTCTAAAAGGGTCTCATCTTCAGAGAGTAGTCTCTTATTCAGCTTCAGACAATAATCTCCGATTCAAACAATAGCTAAATTTGTGTATTTTCAAGAACATTAAATTAGACTTTATTTGGGAGAGTCCGATTGGATGCAATGATACTATTCAATTCATCAGTTCATGTTTTTATAAAGCCCAAATCATAACGGGAACTCAGCAAGTCTGAAAAAGGATCAGGTCGTAAGATTGTAAGAAGTTTGGAACTTGCACGTCAAAGTCCCGGATCCAAGTTCAAAACTCAAAATTTAAGACCCCAAGGACCTAAGCAATTATCTGTTAAATGAAGATATAAACCATATAAAGTTGTGCCTAACTTTAAGCATTAATATATCATCCACTTGAAATTGAGAAATTTGAGTATTTTGATTTCTGACAACAACTTTTAAATATATACTTGATTTAGCAGTTAACACATTAAATTCTAACATGTGGATGAGATAATATTAACTCCTAGTCTATAAATAGCAAAAATGTTAAGATCATATATGTATAGAGTATGTATCCATGAAGTCCTGTATGCTTATTTAAAACCTCCCCTATAAATCAAGATTTGTTACGTATACGCTCGTGAGATTCTCTAAATCACATACTCGTAATACAATCACACCATCTGTTCTCTTCAATTACAACAATTTATTCGTTGTTTAACGGGAGGTATAGAAAATGTGAAGTTAAGATAATGCATTAGCATAGCCGTATTGTATGCAAATGCCCTTTGCATTTCACAATGAAAAATTGCATGCGCCATTTCACACCCATGTATTCGTAAATGCATTTTGCATTCCTCAATTGACTGTCATTTGTGTATTGTTAAGGCCCGTTTTGAAATATTTTGAGTTTGCAGTTCTCTATTTCTTTTAGAATTGAAAATCAGATCTTGTAGTTCAAGAACAAATAATCATCCATTTTTAATGACACTTCTTTAGATTAACATATCTATTAAAGTATGCAAATATTTTATTCATCACTTTAACATATGGGATATATTAATTCTAATTACATTACCCTAAACTGATAACTTGCAATATTGCAAGTCACAAAGACACACACACACACACAAACATAATAACGCGGAGGATAATTTAGTAGCTTTAAAGGACAAGAGCTTATCAAACTCTTCATAAACCGATTGTTAATATAATCAAAAATCATATTAGAATAGATCGAGATGTTAATACAATGTCACATTCAAAAGATGAGTGTGACCGAGATGCGTACGATGTGTTGGATGTTTAGACATATTAGAATAGACGATTGAGGAAGGAGATAATTATACAAAAAGTAAAAGTAACACCTATAGAAGATAATATGCAAGAGTATGTCTGAATTGCGGAGATTTGGTTATGTGCATAGAAATAATGAGTGATATACTTCTTTTTTATTTGGTGAGAGTATAGCTTTGGAGAGAGCAAAGTCGAGGATAAATATTCATGTGTGAGACTATATTATTAGAACTAGACCGGACCGGACGTGTCGACCCGGAAACCGGCGACCCAACGTCTAACTTGGTTCGATTGTATGTAAACCCGTAAATGTAGGTAAAATCGGATTTACCCGGTAACCCGCTTCGACCAGTGACGACTTAAACCCGTGGGTGTGGCTCATCAACAAGCAGCGAGTTTTCCACTTCGCCACTTGTTCTAGTTGGTAATTGATGCTCGTTCTTTGCACTTATGATATTTTTACTTGAACTGAAATTTCTTGTTCTGGTCCGATCTGGTATGAACCGGTCTGCTCTGGCCGGGTAAATGTCTGTGCTCTGTGTATTTTATAACTATCTAAATCTGGTTTGATCTGATCTGGTCTGAGACTGAAAACAGTCCAAGTAAAGACATCATTAGTATTGCTTTAGTATACAATGTAAAGCTATCAAAATTTTTCAAGTACTAATTAATACACACTTAATGTAAAACGTAGTAATATATTGTTGTTCTTACATACTATAAAAAAATACTTATATTATATTTTTAAGAATTTGTAACAAGTGTAGTTATGTTCACATTGTTTTTGAATAAAGTATAATACATTTGAATATATATACTATATACATAACTATGTAAAATTATTTTATGCATGTGTTTAAAAATATCAAAGAACATTATTAATATAATTAGGGCTAAAATTATATTTTAGAATATTATGGGTGTGTTTTCAATGCATACTATTATTATGATTATTATTCATAATAATTATACATATTTTTATTTTTATATATTGTCATATATTTATCAAAATACTAATTTAGATATGTTGACCGGGTTTTCTCGGCGTTGATCGGGTTGAACCGTTGGATCCGAGCTTACCCATGACCCGGTCATTAGTCCGGGTCTCTTCCTAGTCCGGTTCTTATAACATAGGTTTGAGATTGATCTCTTTTCTCTCTTTTTTTTCTTTTACCTTTTTATCTTCTTTATTTGTCTTATGTTCTTATGTTATTTTTATCTTTTATATATCTTTCTCATGTTCTTTT